ATCTCCAGCACAACTCTATGGCCAACATCTGCCAGACATTGACCATAGGATTACACTAGTGGACCTGCCAATGCCTAGAGAAGTGTTCCCTCTAAGAACTAGGTCCTCTGCCACAATTTATGGTGGACGCTGACCATAGAGTTGCTCTGGAGGACCTAGAGATTCCTAAGGAGAACATATTAATAAAATTTGTGAATAATCAAATCTGCAAATGTCAAAGCCGCAAATGACTGTACTGTACTGTTGTTCAGCTTGTCTTTTCTGCTTCCAAGCCGGAAATGGGAGGTGTGGCAAGGCCCATCCTCTGGCCTCCGGGGCGTTCCTGGCCCCTTTGTATCAAACTCTAATTAGGTATAAAGGGCAGAGGATGGGGTTGGCAGAGGGGTGGGCGAGGGGGCATTAATAAATGACTCCCCTTGTCACTAATTGTCACTTTTCAGAATCAGGAGATCATGGAGGGGGGCTGACTTTCGTCCTGGGAGGAAAGGGGGTATCATAGCCTCCCGTTGGCCTCCATTAGCATGTATGGGACTCGGGCTCTTAAAAGCAATTAGCTGCCAAGCCAAGCTCGATTGGAAACCCGCTGGCCTCTTTTGCAGGTTGGAATCGTTGGCGGAATAACCAAAGAACCAGACAAGGGGCTTAAGGCTTGAGAGAGCCCCAAAGGCCTTGTGTTTTTTGAGCTGCTTTGAAGCGAGTTGGAAGGGGAAAGTCTAGCGCAATCTGGGGCAAGCGGCTGAGAGAGAAGCACCCATTTAAAAAAAACCCAGAGGGGGAGAGTTTTTGTCGATTGAACCATAACCGGCTTCCCTTTTGAACCCCAGGATTGTAGCACTTTTTGTGTTGTTGTGTGCCTTCAAGTCATTTCGAGTTATGGCGACCCTAACATGGGGTTTTCTTAGTAGGATTTGTTTGCCATTGCCTTCCCCTGGGCTTTTATTTGCCCCGGTAGATTACATCATTTGATCCCAGTGGGTGTATTTGGGAGAAGAGAGAATGAAGGCAAAGGAGGCCTGTTTGTCTTCTGTAATTGCATCTGCTCCTGGAGAGCCATTAGAGGTCATTATGAAGAGACCTCATGCCACGTTGGCCGTAATGAGGGAGCCTGATGGGAAATCGATCCCGCCTCGTAATGAACCTGGACCTCTAAGCCTCTCCAAAATCCAGTCTACTGATATCTCTTAAGTGAATAAATTAGGCTCCTTCCCATCTTGATTCCAGCTCCTCCAGCCCTGTTGCATCAGGGCATAGCTTTGTGTCCAAACCATGGTGCCCAGCTTATGGGAAGAGTGTTTTTTATCAGACATCAATAGCATTAGGATACAAATGGGCAACTGCATGGGGACCATTTCCCTGTCCCCAGGGGTAATCCACACTGTAGAAATAATCCAGTTTGACACCACTTTAAGTGTCGTTCCTCCATCCAATGGAATCCTAGGGCTTCTAGTTTTGACAGGTCTTGAGCCTCCTCTGCCCAAGTGTACTGGTGCCTCACCAAACTACAAATCCTGTGATTCTCTGCAGGATGGAGCCACAACAGTCAAAGTGGTGTCAAACTGCATTGTTTCTACAGTGCAGATGTAGAACTCTACTTCCAGTAGAGCAACATCTGCATGGTTCCCATCAGTGGGATAAGTCAACCAGGAGTTAAAAGATGATTCGATTCAAAGAAAAAGAGCAAAACTTGCATGCACTCCATGCAAATAATAGATCAGGATCAGGTAGAACTGTTTATCTCCACGTTCATTTATTTATGCTGGTGATCAGATGCCCAAGAACTTTAATATTTCATCGATCTTTGCATTCTTTGGCTCAATTTACACACACACACAAAGACCCTTCCATCTTTCCTCCTGGGCGATCTTTCTTTTTCTTCTTGAAGTGTTCACTCCACACAAATCTAACTTTGCTCCGTTATTACGATTGTTCTCTCTCCTACCTGCAGGCAATGCTTAGCATTCAAAAGACATTCTCTTAAGGTCAATACAAATTAATGGCAAATTTAATTAAAGTTTCCAGCACTTTCGCTTAAAGTGGTTCGTAATAGGTATCTCTCTGGCCTCCCACTCTCTCCATATCCCACAAACCCAAGCTAGAAGGGGGTTATCAATAATGAACAGCAGTCATTTTAGAACAGAGGGATTAGAGAGAAGGAAAATGTGGCAAAAGTGGAATTATTTCAGAAGTCACGGGAAGAGCGGATGGGGAAACTCAAGCGTTGCCTTGTTTTGATCTTGCAGAGAGAGGATTAGGGATGCAAATCTTCACCGGTTTGCTTTCCAGAAGCAAACGCAAATAATTTCAAAGGTTTTGACGTACCACGCTGGGTGAGAGATTATGAGAATTTCTGCACATTTTTGTTAATTTTTTCATATTTTGGATTTTTTTTTTTTGGTTGCCAAAAATATTTTGTCTGGGGGGAGGGAAATCCATTATACCTTTTTTGCAACCCCCCCCCCACACTACATTTGTCAATATTATATATCCGCTACATAGCTGTTGTTGTTGTTGTGTGCCTTCAAGTCATTTCCTATTTATGACGAACCTGTCATGGGGCTTTCTTTGCAAGTTTCTTTAGAGAAGATTTGCCGTTGCGCTCCTCTGAGGCTGAGAGAGTGTGATTTGCCCAGGGTCACCCACTGGGTTTCAAATATTTTATATATATGAGAAGGGACCAGCATGGTGTAGTGGATTTGAGCACTGGACTATGATTCTGGAGACGAGAGTTTGATTCCCTGCTCAGCCATGGAAACCCTCTGGGTGACCTTGAGAGAGTCACACACTCTCAGCCCCAGAAAACCCTGTGATAGGTTTACCGTAGGGTCTCCATAAGTCAGAAACAACTGGAAGACACACAACAACAACAACAACAACAACAACAACACATAAAGAGGAAGAGAGAGAGAGAGAATTTCCCAGAAAATGCTTCTGCCTGTTAACTCTGTCTTAAGCCTTTCCCTCCAGAATTTATCTAAAATGAGGACGTTATGGTATATAAAATAAATCTGACACAAGGTGCTTTATTATTGGGTTGGGGAAGAATGCCGGGCAGCATTTTAAATTCTTACAATTTGGAGAGGAATGGCTGCTGCTGGGTGTGTTTTAAGATAGGCTGCAGGATTTAATGTAGTATCTCAAATGGCATCGCACAACCCAACCCCTGCCCCCCAATAAGGAACATTTTATTGCAAGTTAAGCAGAATGATTGATTTAGTTCCTAAGCTTGTATTTGCCGAGCATGACGCATGTGTGTGTAAAAGGTTAGGAACACACGGAAAGAATTATTTTTCTGTCCTTAAAAAAGAAAAAAAGCAGTGAGAAACACAGGAAGGCATTTGGAACGGACATAAATTCTTCGATATGTCAGCACACAGTAGCTCTCTAGAACAGAACCAATGCAATGCAGTGAGCCCTAGCAGGAACAATAATAATGATGATAATAAGAACAACATTGTGCTACTGTTTATTATTATTATTATTATTATTATTATTATTATTATTATTATATTGTACCATTGTTCCATGAGAGAAGCCAGTATGGTGTAGTGGTTTGAATGTTGCACTATGACTCTGGAGACCAGGGTTCAAATCCTGGCTCATCCATGGAAACCCACTGGGTGACCTTGGACAAGTCACACTCTCTCAGCCTCAGAGAATGGCAAAGACCCCCCCCCTCAAAGACACTTGCCAAGAAAACCGCATGATAGGATCGCCATAAGTCAGAAACGACTTGAAGGCACACAACGACGACAACAAACCATCGTTTCATAGATGGCCATGGGTGCCATTTTTCACCCCAGTGGAAGCCTCCCAAAAAGTATCAGATCCCCTCCATGTAGGCCACTTTGCCAAAGTCATTTTTTTGTGGTGCTATTTCTTTGTGGCTGCTCCTCCATGGATTCAGGGTGGCGGTCTAAGTGGGCCATTTTGTTGATGCAATTCTTTACTTCTTATGCAAATGGGCAACTATGCAAAGATTACAACTGGGAAACTGCCAGACGTTTGGCTGGGAAAGAGCATCGGTGCTTGGCCGGGATGCCACACCATGTTGCCATCTTCTTTGGATTTACGGCATGCCCATCTCCAGGCTTTGAACATCAAAGAAGTTAGCATACTGTACAGACTGACATAATGAGACTGATTGGCAACAGATCAAACTCTAGCCCCCTTTTTAAAAAACAACCCTTCATGATCTTCCCATATTGGTTGGAAGAAGACATTGTGATTAACACAGGAGCCTCTTGGCATTTAGTTTAGCTCCATTTCCACATCTTGGCTTTGTCCCAAGAAAGAAACCGCTGTACCATACCCCTCAAATGTTTTGATTTATCAGGAACAGTCCCAATTAATCCTCTGCCATCCCACTCTTTCAGCTGCTTTTAAAATGTCCCAGTTTCTCTCTCGTCCTCCAGCTTTCCCCCTTTATCCTCCGCTTACTTCAGTTGTTGCAAACTGAGTTCAAAGTCCAAAATTAAGGATACTTAACTACATAACTGGTGTAGTTTGCCCTCCATTAACTCAACAAAGGGAGAGAAGTGGTGGCATTTTGCCCTTCCCAGTCAGATCTGGCAAAAGCAAACTATGGCAGCCTCTCTTAGCTTGTATATTCTTCCCCAGTCATAACGTTTCCCATCTTGCATAAACTCTGAAGCTGCTTGGCCACACAAGTTCTGGTTTTCATTTGTGAAATGCTGGAAGTTCTGCTGTACTAGAGAAGAGGGAGGAAAAGTTTCAGTTGGGCTGGATGTGCCAAAGATCACAGCCGGATGGGACAATGTGATCTTTTTCCTTTGCACCCTCCATCCAAAAAGGATGCCAACAGAACCTCAGTCTGAATCCTGCCTTTGCAATGCCCACCCGCCACCCCATTTCGAGAAAGTTGTTGATATAGCCATCATTTGGGGGATATGATCATCTTGTCTGGGTGAACCTGGGAGTTTTAGCCCCCACTCCCCCCAAAATAACACCCCTAAGCTCTTTGCAAACTGCATGCTGGATCTCAGTAGAAAAGGTAGAAGAAGGAATTTGCAAAGGAATGTGCAGAGTTATAGCTCACCCTAGTTTCATAACACTTTCTATCATGCAGTATCTCTAGACTGACCTTTGCTGGCCTTTTTAACATCCAGAATTGATTAAGCAGTTAACACGGAGCGTGGTTTCTCCATCCATCATGAAGACAAGGTGCTCTGCGGCCATGAAAAATGCGTGGCCCTGGACAGCTACACTTCCCAGTCACACCTTGCTAAACAGAGAACAAAAGCCCTTCAACGCTCAGTAAATATTTATGGGTACCACAATGAAGTGATGACTAGAAAGGTTCCTATGCTGAGAGGGCTGGATGAACTCCGATGCAAGCCAGCCGGAGTAACACACACAAGCCAAAAAAGCCCCTGTATTTAACCTCATGCACTGGGATATATATATTTAAAACATTTGCATTGAATGGGATAGCCTCTGTATTTAACCTCATGCACTGGGATATGTATTTTTAAAATATTTGCATTGAATGGCTGGCAGGGTATTTTATGACCCCAATGCAGGGTTGCCATATTCCAGTCCCTCAAATCCAAGCATATAATTTGTATATGATGCAAATTATTATCATTAAGCGTATTATTAATTTGCATTCCGATTATACAAATTCAACACAATAATCATTGCCGTCCGGGGCATTTCTTTTTGTCCCTTCAATCCAGGATTTTCTAGGTTTTCTGGGACAAATGGTAACCCTATGGGAATTCCAGTGGTGCGGTAAGGATTAGTGGTTGGGTTTCATGTAGACTTCTTGAGTTTTCTGAATGGACTAAGAAATTTAATGTCTTCTCCCAAATGGGACCACCCTATGGACAGCCAGCATATGTTCTTCCTTCCCAACATTATGGTTTACTGGGAAATGGGAGTATCCCTTATCCGAAATCTCAAAATCCAAAATATTCCAAAATCCAAAACTTTTTCAGTTTTTGAGTACCTGTTCTGTAACTCAAGAAGTTTTGGATTTTGGAGTATTTTGGTTTTTGGAATTCCGGATAAGGGATACGTACATGTATTGTAAGGAGCTAGGATGGCATAGTGGTTTGAGTATTGGACTATAACTCTAGAGGCTAGGGTTCAATTTCTGGCTCAGCCATGAAACCCACTAGGTGACCTTGTGTAAGTCACACTCTCTCATCCTCAGGGGAAGGCCAAGGCAAACCTCCTCTGAACAAATCTTGGCAAGAAAACCCCATGATAGGGTCACCTTAGGTCCAAAATTACTGGAGGGCACACAACGACAATGACAACAACAAAGTGCAGTTGGAGGAGACTTTCATGGGCTGAGTGACAAAATAAGGAATGGGCTTTGGCTGCTTTTGTTTGTTACTCTTTTGAAGAGCAGTGCTGTGTCTCTCTGAGATTTTTCACTCTTGTTAAAGGCTTCTGTGATTGATTGATTGATTGATTGATTGAGTTCTCCTTCTCTCCTGAAACTGGGACTCAAGGCAGCTTGGGTACAAAGAAAGATACAATGGATGGGCTTTTGTTAGTGATGTATGCATGCATAAGCCACGCTGTATAAGCAGGTGAAGTTTGCCAACGGACATATTCTTCTGACAGCTGTATATGGATTTCACAACAGCATCCAGTCGTTGACATGAATTGCACAATGTTGCTCTCCTGCCTGGGAGTTGTACAAGTGCAACATATGGATATTTATTCCAAGCGAAGGGGATGTTGTACTGTAGCCAAGGAGCGATTTTATCAAAGCCCATTTAAAGAAGCTGTAATAGTAAAAACATAACCGAGTTCAAAGCCATTTTTAAATCACATCAGTAAAATAAAAATAACAGTACAACATCTCTAGTTCAAAGCCAGTTTGGCAGGAACCAATCAGTAATCCAAAGCCTTCCGGTATAATAAAAAAAGAGCATGGTCTACTAGACTTTTCCAAAGCATGGAAAGTTAATTTCTTAAGGAATAACTTGTTTCGTTACTCCTTTTAAAGCCTCCAAATTTAATTTATTGACCTGGAGAAAATAGCTGCTTGGTTCATTTCTTACAGGAATGCCTAAGTAGGTGTGTTCCTGGGCATGACTACTTTAACAGAAAATCTGGTAATAGAGATAGAAATAACAGGGAAATATTCAGCATAAGCTCGGAGACCACAAAAAAAGGAGGGCAATCGACATCTCTCAGGAAACATTTCATTGAAAACAGAGAAGGTGCACATGTGAAATGAAGGCTGCTGCCACACTGCAGAATTAATGTAGTTTGACACCACTTTAACTGTCATGGCTCCATCCTATGAAATCTGGGGATTGGTAGTTTGTTGTGGCACCAATGCTCTCTGCCAGAGAAGGCGAAATTTCTCACAAAATTACAAATCCCAGAATGTCATAGCATTGAGCCCTGGGAATTAAAGCGATGTCAAACTGCATTAATTCTGCAGTGGAGATGCAGCCAAAGCCTTGCGTAAGCAAAGACAAGCATTCTGAACCTTCTTGAGACCATTTGAAGGCTTCTTCCCAATTCCATCCAGGGATGACATTTTCTTTCACCAGCCTCCATTTCCTTCTGATTTCCATTTTAGTGCCCAAACTTACAGATCTATCTCTATATTATAGAGCTATTATATTATATTATATTATATTATATTATATTATATTATATTATAGAGCTGTTTCTTGCTGTGGTTGTTGTTGTTGCTGTTGTGTGCCTTCAAGTCATTTCCAACTCATGGAGACCCTAAGGCAAAGCTATCATGGGGTTTTCTTGGCAAGGTTCATTCAGAAGAGGTTTGCCCTTGTAATATAGTTGGGATACAATTGTTGTCATCCAAAAAGGTAACTTTTCCCAACCTTTCCTGTCCTCCAAGAGAGGAGACTACAGAGCCATACTCCCAAACAGAAAGAAAACCACAACCTTTTTTCTGCTGGGTTTCATATAATTCACCACCAGCTCCTTCCTAATTGTTGGCATCTGAAAGTCATTACAATAATTGATGCAAAGCGAGAACATTTTGGCATTACTCCTGAACGTCTCATTGGGATGGGTTCATGACCGTGGACCACCTCCCTCGGAAATGTCCTGTGACCAAAGTCCGGATCTGATGGGGGTGAAAATACACGGTGCGTTAATCTCTGGCATGTGGAACTCATGGGCGTGGGATGTGGGAAAAGAACAGAAGCATCGCTGGATTTGCCAAAGGGTCTGGACATCTGTGGAGAATGGGATCATCAATGGCTGTTAGGGGAAAGAAATGCAGGAGAAAGACTCCCGCTTGAGACGCTTCTAGGTCTTTGGCATGCCCCAAAATGCAAATACGTTACTAAATATGCCCGAGATTGTACATCATCCTTGTTGTTGTTGTTGTTAGCTGCCCTCGAGTCGGTCTTGACTCATGGTGACCCTGTGGATGAGACATCTCCAAGACCTCCTGTCCTCCACTGCTCTGCTGAGGTCCTGCAAATTCATTACTATGGCCTCTCGGATTGAATTTAACCATCTGGCATGTGGCCTTCCACCCTTTCTGCTGCCTTCCACCTTTCCCAGCATCATTATCATCCTTGCATAGTGCAAATCTACACTCACCTAAGTTATGTGGCGCTTGCACAACTCCACCTTTATGCCAGAGTTGTGCAACCAATTGTGTCTCTGCCAAATGTGCTTGTTTATTCTCTCGTTGTGCAACCTGGGATGTGCAACATCTCTTTTCTCGATCCCAGTGAACAAAAGGGTGTGTTTAAAGCACAGATGAACACTTATGTAACACCCAGGAATGCATGGCTCTATGTCTGTGGGTTAGGCTCAATCGATAGTTGAATGTTGAACCATAGAATCATTGAGTTGGAAGGGACCATGAAGGTCACCTGGTCCAGTCCTAAGCCATACAGAAATACATGTAAAGTACTCCTGAGAGATACCAATTCAATCCACACACACACACAAAGTGCTGAGTTCTTTTAGCATACAGTGAGTATGGTTGTGCACTATCAGCCAACTTTGCACCATGCATGGAGAAGCATCACTCTTGTATTTTCTGTTGCTTATTAAGGTACTTCCGTTGCCACATGTTTGGTGGGCATCACATACCCTCCAGCTGTCCTGGTTTGGCACAGACAGTTCTGGTTAATCCTCTGCCATCCCACTATTTCAGCAGCTCTGTCCTGGTTTCTCTCTCCTCCTCCCACTTTCCCCCTTTTGTCCCCAGCTTATTGCTTTCAAAGTGTAAAAGTAGTTTGCATTCAGTTAATTCTGCAGGAAAGGAGAGGAGAGGGTGATTCTTACCCTTCCCAGTAGGCTCCGGCAAAAACAAACTGCTGCATTATCTGCTGCTACTTATTAAGAACTTTTGCCATCTTGCTCACAGTCTGGCTGCATCTACACTGCAGAATTAATGCAGTTCAATGCTATGGAATCCTGGGATTTGTAGTTTTGTGAGACATTTAACCTCCTCTGTCAGAGAGCTCTGGCACCACAGAAAACTACAAATCCTAGGATTCCATAGGACAGAGCAGTGGCAGTTAAAACGGTTTCAAACTGCATTAAGTTTGCAGTGCGGCAGCAGCTTCTGAAATTGCTTGTCCCTGTTTCCCTCTTTGCAATAAATAATAATAATAATACATTTTTATTTATAGCCCGCCCCTCTGCGGAGCAATCGAGGCGGGTTACAGCATTATAAAATATACAGCTTAAAAACATTCCTATTCCATATCCAACCCTCCAAAGTTGCAAAGTTGGAGGGTATGCGAAAGTAACAGAACAAACTGGGGGCAACCATATATGGACCAAATAAGAGATTTCTTTCATTTGTGTCACTGTGCCGTGCTGCAAAACTGCAATCAATTAGCCAAAGCCGTCAATATGTTTGACAATTGCCCATCCTAAGCTTTTAGACTTGGACAGGGCATGTCATAATCTTCCATTCTGCTTTTTTAAATGAGTCTCGGTTTTGAGTCTTGGCTTGGATGCACCTCTCTGTTATGCAGTGAAGTGTTATCTTTGTAGCTCCCATGAGTATTATTAACTTCAAGGATGTGGCTGGACTCCAGAGAGCTTGTTTTCGAGTTTATCGAGAACGTCCAGCTTGGCCTCTTGCCTTTCAGAGATAAATGTGGGCTTTGTTTGTTGGTTCTTTTCCTCAAAAAGGAGCCCCGATAGCATGCCAGAGGCAAACACAGAAGAGTTTTGCCTCCGCTCCTCCTAATGATAACCCAAGTTAACAGTTTTATAGCTCCTCCACAGATGCAAGAAACACGATCTTGTGGGATCTTGTGTGGAGACAGAGGCCAAGTCTCTCTCTCTCTGTATGCATACTGTTCAGTTATAGCATTATTTGATGCCACTTTAAGGCTCCATCCTATGGAGTCCTGGGATTTGTAGTTTCAGGAGGGAATCAGAATTCTCTGCTAGAAATCTCTAGTGCTTTCTCCAGTCTCTCCACCAAACATCAAAGAAAAGTGGCATCAAACCACTTTGTGTGGATCCCTTCCTTCCTTCCTTCCTTCCTTCCTTCCTTCCTTCCTT